ACCGGCAACCTTCCAATTACAAGGCAAACTCCCACCTCTTGAGCCACGATCGCCAAACACTTACATTTTTTAAATGTAAGTGTTTGGAAAAATGTACTAAAAGTATTTTTATTGCACCATGTTCATTCACTCATGAGCTCCTGTAACACAAATCAAATGGCTGAATTGCCACATCAGCATACAGTCAAGTTCTATAGTCTTACGAATGACCTACTAATTGCATTCAGGTAAGTTGCAATAGGGACAAATGGAAAAGTTTCAGGACCCCCGGTCCCCGAGGGCTGGAATTTGAGACCCCTGTTGTAGGGTCTTTACCTCACAATATAAAGCGCTGTGAGGCAACTATTTTTTATCATTTAAATTCCTATATAAATTGAATTGAAATGACTTTATTTGAGAAGACTTTGTTTGGTGTATTGTTTTGTATAATAAAGTGACAACAGAAAAGTGTACTGTAATATAGGGAGATGATAACCATGAACGGAGTCTGGGTCAACCTGAATCGATACTCACTGCAGTTGTGTTTGTTATTGTGAAAACTAATGTAACTGCAGTTCAGACATGGTAATATTCACACATTATGTGATTTGAGTGGACCTTGCTTTTATTTTTTTCTAAAACCATACAGTTAACCTGAAAAGGAATATAGTAAAACTGTAACCTTGAGCAGAATTCATGTAATTTTAATTTAAATATAGGGATATAATACATAGGCTATGAGATATCATATATAATGATGAGTTTTTCTAAACCTGTACAGTTTAATGAGATGCCAATTTTTTTTCTTTTTATAGGGAAAGTTGGGGTCATAGCTGCAGTGATGAACTGAAACATGTACAAACATACAAGTATATACGATGTCTAAGACAATTTGTAACATTTTGTGATATGCTGAGTATTCTAATAAGATAAACTGTGATATATTGCTTTTTTCGAACTGCAGATTTAGTTCAGTTGTGAGACAGCAGTCACCAGTTCCCTGTGATATGAGTCGTCATAGTTGCATATGAATCTGCGATGTCCACACATTGCAAGATAATGCTAATCCTTCTGCTATCCTCAATTTTACACTTCATTTATTTCTACTTCATTTTAGAACCTGAATTTGGCTTTATCCATGGAAACACACGGCAGTGACTTATGCCTGAGCTCCAGTGTCTTAAACATGCAGCAAAAGCCACAGTGTCTCAAATCTGTCTGCCTGTCACAGTCTCTCTCTCTCTCTCATTCACAGACAAACACACACGTGATTTGTTTCTGATGCTTTCATTTTTGTTTTGCCAACTTCCTGAGCTGCTGTACTCACTAGAACAGCAACAACAGACTGAAAAGCAACTGATTTTATTACCGTATTTTCACGACCATAAGGCGCACTTAAAAGTCTTAGATTTTCTTCAAAAAGT